ATAAATTTGCTCGAACATGGCCATACTGGTAATGAAGCATTTACAAACGCACGTGCACTGTAATTTAAATTATAAAGAATGATTGCGATCAATTACTAACATAAACAAAAATGATAAAAATATAGCTAACTATAAACGAATATACATTGAATACTAGAAATATAATGAACACGAACTTCTTATTTACGCTACACCAACCACTCATGAACCACTCAGCTTGAAACCTGTACCCGCCTGCTTGTTAATGTAATACCACAAAAAAACACTAAAATATATTATTTTTGTATAATAAATAACATATACATAAAATATTTGTTCGGCACTTAACACCGGGGCGCACAATTTATAAAGAAAAATCCTATAACACAATACCTCCAAGTTTCAGTTAGCAGACATCCGACTTAGCTTAGAAGGTCTGTTTATAAAATTTGCTATCGGCATCCGTGCCATAAGAACTAAAGTATTAGACGAGTATTAACTCCATAATGTAATCCCATAATGTGTTTAATTGATCTCTTTCACGTACAAAACGCAATGTAAACCATACCACCTTACATATGCTGTCAGCGTAATCAAGAGTCTACAGGGCGTGTTATATGGACTAACGTGAACGACTGTAAAACTTAGTTGTTGTTTTAGTTTATCAGACCCTCGACTTGCATGTTTGTTCGTACTGTAATGTGTCATAGAATTACATTAAAAAAAAAAGAAAAAAATATTTTGAGATAGATATATATCATGTCAGCCAATATTGACGCATTGAAAAGTTTGACAGGTAATACAGTCCACGTACGGTTCGCCATACGTGTAATTAATGGGCGTGTGCCGAATATACATTACGAATTTAAAACAGATCACATTTCCCATCCTTTAATTCAGCAACATTAATAACGAATTACTATGTCGTTCTTTTTTCCCAGTCCGTTTATTTATTTTTTTCATAATATGGAATCAACGTTCTAAATAAAGCAGTCAACGATATATTGAGGTTTCATAAAAGTTATATTATTGTATTTTGTAGGAATTATGTTTATTTCAGCAATATACAGGAAATTAATTAAAATTAACTTTAATTGTAGCGGCAGGACGATGAGAAGTAGTTAAATGTGGTCAATACTACATTCAATTGAATTTATGTGCTAACACAACGCTGCAATCAATTGAAGCTTTACATGAGTGTCATGTTGTAGAATATATGAAAGTGCGTTTTTCTTCTTTAGACAAAGCCATGTTTTAAAAGCGCAATTTAGCTATCAGGCTTAATAATCGTGATAATTTTGCGACTCAAAAAAATGTTTCAATCACAACAAAATGTTTTACGATAACATGACAAAGTAAGTATGTATAAACCACTACTAATTTTGTGATAAGATACTTTTAGGAAATCGCTGTGCATACCAGTATTGGTTATTACCTAAATAATACGGAGCTACCGGCTTAGATTTATTTAAAATATTGAGTACAATTTTAATCTGAAAGTGACCAACATGTACTCCAGGAAATTTACCGAATATATTTGATGACGTAGTTGATTACTCAATAAATACCTACTACCATGCTAAATATCACATAAAACTGAATAGAATGTTTATATATTTCGTAAAATGTAATAAGAAAACGATGTGACCATAAATGTTATATTATAACCGTCGTTCTGAATGGACGGGAGCGTGTTTTTAATTGTTCAAGTCGTGGGCGAATAGACGATACACCACGGTTTCCCGTGTTCAAATGTAAATTTCAAACGTCAGTAGTACACAAAAGGGTTGAATCTTCCTGTCAACAAAAATCGGCCAAAAATAAGATTTTGCGCTTCAAACGTAGCGGACATAAATGCAACCCTCAGGTTTTATAAGTTCAAAATAGAGGTATAAGAATTCGGACGTATAGCTTCAATTGGCGTCAGTATTTTGTGGAATTTATGTCAATTGAGAGGATTTTACCTTCACGTAGGTTACTCACATAAAGAAACTACGTGAATAAATTTCGCAACGCTGGAATATGGATGCCAATTTGTGCCACCACTCGATGTATTATACTCGATCCAGGGCCCATTTTATTTTACCACAGTTGCATGTAGTACGTTTCAGACGCTGTATGCACATTTGAACACTGTTTTTGACGCTTTAAAGTTATTTGTGCACCTCAAAATTGCCCTTAAAGTTAAGTTGGTATGACATAATAAGAATAACCACGCCCAGAGGTGAGTATTTTTATTAATTAAACCGTATACACACTAGTTATCGCCTATATCTCATAGTACAGTAGTATTCTGGTGGATATCACAGTGAACAGTCCATTGTTATCAGCCAAATGCGATACCTTAGTGCAAAACGGCAGCGAGTCTACACGCGTCAACGTTCACTAATTTTCTTAGTGGACAAAATACACAGGCAAAAATGAAAACTAAATAATTATAATTGAATAATTGAATAATTGCATGTAATTGTTTCCATTGTTATCAATTGAATATAATAATTGTACCCATGCAGCAAAACTCTAATTTTAAAATATCAATTTAGTAAATGAATAAGATTTACTTAAATAGACCAATGTCAATGTCAAAGTATTCCGAACCTGACAGCGTTTCAATACATGGTATACAAAAATTCAAATATAAATATTGTATTTAATTATATTGCGCTATTTGAAGTTTTAAAAATGACTAAAAGCGAATGCCAAAACAATTAACTGTAGTAAAAGCAAAACAAAATCGTGTACGCTTTGTTGAACAAAACTATGTTTTCAAATGAGCGTCTGTCAATTCTTTAATATTAGTACAGTTTTTGACAGGGATCCCAGATATAGACTTGCTATATCATATCGTTAACTGTGCTTCGGGTAAAAAAGAGCGTTAGGAGATATAAAACCGAGCCATAGTGGCATGTGTATTTGGTAAAACCATTGTGGAAATATGAATATTTGATCATGAACACTTTATATACTATCAATACCATTTCAAAGACAATTCTGATACGTTGCTACAGCCAATAAACCTAATTAAAGTCAGGCGTGATATTTTTAGTTAAACGGCCTTAGTTGCTAGACTCATGTATTTTCGACAAGTGTACATTCGGTGTTCTACTGAATGGATAAAAATAAACATTAATATATTCCACCCAAAATACTATAAAAGAATAATATAGATTGTTTTTGATTTGTATTTCAGATTCGAGACATCATCCGCTTGTGATAAAATACATATCTTCGATAACAGGTGCAAACATTCTCTCCTTTGCTTAGCAAGATTTAGCAAGGCTGTACATAAATAATAAAAAAGAAACATGGAAAAAAAGAAATGACGGTATCTCCATATTATGCACTATATTTAACTTTTAACAAAATGATAATAGATTTAAATTTGGAACTGTTACAGCCATTTTAATTATGAGCGTTAGCAAATTTCTTACTGAGTGAATGGTTATGCAAATTGGCAATTATCTCAGCTTCTTTTTAGTGCACATCCCAGAACTTTAAAAAATAGTTCCTAGACGCTTTGATTTATCGTTTTGAAATTTTCACAAATGATTGGCAATGTGTTTATCTTCAAAACGCCGTTGGGGCATTGTTTTTGGTTGAACAGTGTTACAACAATCGTACAGACAACTAGCATGGGTGTTAATTTATGCATAAACTTGAAGTAGTGAAATTTGAGCTGCTGCCCTGCAAAATTGACAACTGGTAGACCGTTTTCAAGACGGCACTTTCTTCATAGTGAACAGATGTACCCATAAACCAATTTTGACAGGAAACAGAAGCATGGTTTAGAAGCTATTTTTTAAATCACTTTTGACCAAAAAAGCACATTTTTGTGCATATTTCAAACTACAGTGTCCATAAAAAAAATACTAACAAAATTTTTAAATTCATACAATAAGCTTTCCAAAAATGTGTGGTTTTGTGGACAAGGGAGGTCATTTTGGTTTCCTAATTAACTAATTAAAATACCTGTCAGGTAAACTGCATCTCTACCTTAAATACGAACATTAATAACGAACAGAGATTAACCACCCAACGGAAATAAAGCCTGAGAGATACTGCAAAGTACAGTAACTATAGGATTTAGTTTCGATTTATTTAATGACGTCCAATATGATGGAGTGTATACATGCTAAATAAAAAGCACTTAAAGCGGGAGGGTCGTCACCTGCGCACGCGCGGGAACTGAGCCCCAAGCGACGATAACAATACACGCTAAAAACGCAAAGGTTCATTGGTAGACAATTGTTTATAAACAATGACACGCTATGGCCATCTGACGCATGCGCAGGTGACGACTCCCCCGCTTAAACCCTGGAACATACCAGATACATATTAACGGATGTCTACCATCTTGGAGAAATTCACTGGGTCCAAAATTCTAAGCTGGAATTCCAAAGCATTAAAATGCAAACAGTTTGGTCATTACTAAATCGTTTTGAACTGTAAGTTAAGCCTTTTATCTGTCGTGTAACTAGGAATTCATTGCAATTTGTTTTCTTGTTTCTAATCCATCAACTCAACTATTTCTTCAGCATGGGTGATGTAAATGTACAGTAAAGCTAAGTAGGAAAGCAACATTAAACACTGATGGATATATTTGACCCACACCTACAAACTAACCCACATATTCATTAAGACTCTGTGAGAGACCACATCACAAGACGTGATTGGAATTAAAATATCACTATCATCAAACGTCCACCACATTATGTGAAACATGATCAAAGTAATGAATTGAATCGGTGAGAAAGCGGTATGACTACAGCTGGACGTGTCAATGAAATTACAATAGTATCCCATTATATTCTATCATCGTGTCAACTAATCCGTCAACTAATCCGTCAGAGGACAATGGACGCGAAAGCGAATGAAACATTTTAAATGTCTCTTCGGCTAAGACAACATATAGCCAAAGCAAGGCTGGGCGCGGGAAACTAAGCTCATTGCGCATGACGATTTAACAATAATACATTATCATATTATTTTATGAACAATAATTGAATGAAAAATGAACTCACTCTCTTTTTTGTTTTCCTCTGAGAATCCTTTTGGTCTTTATAGAGATTGCCAGGCATAGTCGATCCCCATACAACCAATACTACCCTTCCATACAAACCGGAAATTATTACAAACGGAAAGACAAACGTTATGATAAATACAGCTATTTCGTAGTGTGTGGGGTCGATGTGGAGTTTTTCCCATGCCTCGAAACACCATGTCGTATCTTGATCTGAATAAAGAGGGTGGATCTCTGTCAGAGTTTCCGTTACTGCTAGTAATGGTGTATTCAGTAATGCTGCTATGATCCAAATCGTGATGATAACAACCCTGTTGCGCGACTTCCCAGTTTTCACTTTGAGTGGGTTAATGACAGCAGTGTATCTATCCACGCATATGGCAACCAAAGTGAAAATACTGACCATCACAGTCACCTGTGATTAAAACAAAACGTAACTTTGGTTAACAGATATAAAGTTACACATGACAAGCACATATTTCTGATAATTATGTAAATTTTGTATATTTCAACGTTTTTCAAGGCATCCTTATGTTGCTAATTGGCTATTATATATAATAAATGCATTTATGTTGCAATGTATACATTGAACGCAAACAGTATGGAGTCCACGGCCAATTAATAACGTCAGTGAATGTCCCTATATAACCACAGGTTCTGTAGGTCGAGTCTTTCGAATAGTTGCAAATAGTTTAGGTAAGACGGGGAATACAGATGTGATATACTGTAAAACATGTTGAAAAAGCGGCATGCAATTTTAGTGAAGTGTGGTAAAATGACGTAATAGCGAAATGTTGATTTCGCGAATCTCTCTTGTCATTGTTGTTTTCTTTGTTTGACGGCCATTTTGAATTGATAGTAAAGTCATTAGCGACATCTTGAATTAACTAGCGAATCAGTTCTCTCGCTAAATTCGCGAAAAAGACATGTTTTACAGTAGATAATGTATACATATATATATCAAGAGTGATACTACAATATCAAATTTATTAAACTATTATTATTATTTTATTTGTTCCAAGCCTCGAACAACCATGGGAAGATATTGGCGTATTTTGTGATACTCCGCAATAATGACAATTCTGTTTGCATGGACCAAACAGATTGCAAAGATTGTTATTACACAGTATGAATATATAGATATATACAGTATGACGTATTACACTGCTTTATCGCACTGAACAGCCATGTGCGACATACAGACACATAATACGCATTTAATGAAACAGTTTTGGTTGCATTATCTGGTTTGATAAATACTCCATAGATTGTAAGCTTTTTTAATAAGACCAGTCTCGTATGACGTATGTGACTACTATTTACGATAACAAAGCTGTAATGTTTAACGCAGTGGAACATAAAACTTAATTAACTTATAATGAAAGACGCGCAATTGATTAGTTTTATTTATGATTTACTTTTAAATTTAAGTCCCCAGCAGATATTCGGGAAAAGGGATAATAAATACGAAAAATTAATAAGCTTGATAAATATACAGGTTATTTGTTGGTCCATATTTATGTTATTGCAAAGTTGCATGCAATTATTTCTCGGTTATATACATGAATTGTATTTTCGCAACTGAATCTCGCCGAGGCCTTGAATAAACTGATATTTGTCTGATATATTTTAGTTGGCTGAAACAGCTGTCATGTTCATAATATTTGGTCTTGTCTTATTCTGAAACAAGTGTGTATACTTTATTCTTGTTCAATTATTGGTTTATTATTTTTACATTTTAGCAAATCAGCCTGACATTCATCAGTCTTGGAGTTAATTTTAATTAGCGTCTATTGTGATTTTTGTCATGACAACTTTTGAATTTTCTTATTGCACTTCACAAATTCATATGCAAGTTTTTATTTTCCTGGAGGCACCAACTTATTTTTATGATTGGTGCCTTAATTATCATCATGCAATATATATATATATGTTGTGTACTTCAAATGATTATTAAAACATACGTATTGTTGTTTACTGTATACGTGTTTTTTTTTCTAATATGACCTTCAGATGGTGTTTGAGCTAGCGATCGAATCTAACCACTTGATCGGCGAGCTTAGGGCAATGATCACTGCTTTAATGTTTCAATCACAGACAAAGTAACAGGAATAGGACCCAAAAGCTGACGTTATAAATTTTCATTGCATTCTTTAATTACCGTACTTCGTTAACAGCGACGCCGATTAAATGTGTCGCCCGCCAAATTAAGCGTGCTAGTTTTGCCCAATGTAGTTTTCTGGCAGTAATTGCACCGACAAAACACTTTACGTTAGATGCAATATGTTTCCTCACACGGCTCAGCATTTAATTAGCTTTCCAACTATATTTGTTAAACACATAAATATGTCTATAAATATACTGTTGTAAGCATTTGCAAGGCTATTTATCCTTGAATGTCGAGACCTGGAAACTACGTAATTCATCAATGGCTTGCAGATATCGGTGATTAACATATAATATACGCCTAGACATTTAACAGAGGTGTAAGCAATTGTAATTGGAGTTGATGCGTTGGAAGCCAAGACGATGTATGTAGTTACTTGAGTTTGCATTATTTGGGTCCATTTACCCGGCATATCTATAGTGTAATATGTATATGCCAGGCAAGTTAAAGACCTTACACCACTACGTTCCTTTCCTTTAGTCAATTTGTGATAAGTTTTCCGGTCTGCAATTGCGGCAATTGAAATTCCTATACGTTTTATTGGATCAGACTGTCTTTTCTTGATTAAACCATATATTATACTTGTATTGTACTTTATGTTACATGATTATTGTATGCTTATATTACATGGTCGGTAGAATAGCGCGATGCAGTGCAAGCCGGGTAATGTTGCCTGGCATTTTGCTGGTTATTATTCAAAACAATATGTTATTCGTAACTTTGTAGGATACCCCCTCACTCAAACCTTGCACGGCAGCGCACATACAATTTATTTATTAGATTTCCTTGATTACTTCACATTATTTTTAACGTGGTCATTTGGGGGATAAATGATAATGTCTTTGTAGATAGAAGAATGATTTAATTGTCTGATAGGTTTCCCATGTGAGACTATTTTCATCTTTAATTATCTAAAGGATTTATAAGATAATGGTATGGAATTTACATAACTATGTACGACTGTATACAAAGAAGATCACACACGAACAGAGAACTCTCACATAGCGTCACAGCACGCAGTTCACTGTTCCAATCGTTCCTTACAAACGGCAAGTAATTGGTAATTTGTCTGGACCGGAATTCGGGCTCTGGACTCAAGCGACAAAGTGACGTCATTTGAAAACTTTAAAATTCGTTCTGCGCAAACGTGCACTGCAATAACGTCACGTTCAGTCGTTATACTTGAGATGACTCTAGTATTACTAACTATTTTTGAAGAAAGTGATAACAAAAATAACAAGCAATGCATGGCACAGTCCCCGTTAGTTATCAAATTTAAGAGATACAGTTTTGTTAATAGTACTATAGTTGGAACATAAACATGTCAGAGATATGATTTCATAAGCTGATGCTTTATTATGGTGATTTTAAACATTAAAATGGTTGACATTCAGACATCTTGTTTCTGACCATCAAACGAGTATTGTCCATATTGAGATATATTGCTGGAACAGCAATAATTGAAACAAAATAACCACAATTCGGTCATTTTGAAAAACATCTGCATATGTCTGACATGATGTATAATGAATATATCGGTATAAAATCTGAGTAGAGATATGGCACGAGAACCACATTCATTAAAACAAAATGGCCGCCAGTCGGCCATTTTGAATCTGATCTGAAAACAAAATGACTTGCGTCGGAGATCCATAATGTCTTATGTGCACCAAGTTTGAACAAAATCCATCTATAAATAGCCGGGAAATGCTTGATTATGATGATTTTCGGTACAGAAATGGCTACCATTCGACAATCTTGAATCAGATCATGAAACAAGTTGATGTGCATAGGTACACTATTATGTATGATGTATGTGTGAAGTTTGAATGTAATCGGTCCAGGCACGTCTAAGATATAACCCGGAAGCAAGCACGCAAGGACACACGGATGCACAGGGGTCAATTCATAAGTAGGAAATTGTGTTTATTCTCTGCAATGGGAACCCCTGTTCTTTGAAATGCGAAGCTGACATCACTCGGAATCCTTACTAGTTACTGGCATCTCGTGGCTTGTTTTGCCATAAAACTAAAAGCGGGAACCAGCAAAATCACGCAGTGAACGATTTGAGTGGTTCGAATGCGTAAATGGAAATGCGCCTGCTTATCACCTTTTGTTTAACCGGTAAGTGTCCGAATAACTCATTGGTGAACTATGTTATACAACGAATTTGATGAGTTTTGTCATTTTCTATAGTCGAGATGTATAGTTACGAGCACTAGTTGGAGTGCGTTTACAACTGTAAATTCCATAGTTTTGTCAGCATTTGTAAACGCGTGAGACTAAAGGCCGAGTGTGTTTACGAGATTTGTATCACGAGGAAAACGATAAAATTGAAAGATTCGGCAATCAGTTGCTTTGACCGTATGTTAATTTAAAATACAAAAGATGTGTTGTACGCTTTGTCATTTGCTCATGAATAATTCAATACAATACAATAATTCAACATGTGACATAGGCATAACCTTTCTAATACCCATTTTTTAAGAAAACCTCCAGCTGAAATCCAATAACACAGTCGCTAGATGCTCTACCTGCTGTGGTTGATGTTGTGTGTTCGAACCTCTTACTTGGCCAACTTGGAAAAAAGGAAGAATCTTAACTCTTCGTCAACTCAGGATGGACTGCGATCTAAGCCGCGTACTTCTAGACAATTTGCAAGGGTTTGATCTCACACAACTAATATTACTTGTCTGTGATCCGATTTACAACATCGATTTACAGCATATGTCGTAGTTACGTAACATGACTCAGGTGCTACCGCTACATGTCATTGGTCTTCTAAACAAAATACGTTACGTAACACACGCGTACGCTGTGGCAATCTACAATCCGCAATAGGGCTGCAGAAAAATAACACCCAAAACTTTCCAAATGCGCAGTATTACTACGTCAAAGTACTCGGTTCAAGCGGACGTTGTCGGTCCCATGGGCCTCGTACGTTTGCTGAAATCTATACCCAAAATAAACTGTTAACTACCGTTAGCATCATTGCAGCCGTCTTTTAACTATCAGTTATCTGTTGCAAATGAATACAACTGTTGCAATTACGCCAGTTTCAATTAGCATACAGACAAAGAGATATGTGTAGACGAGCAGCACAGTGAGTCACATGCACAATATTGTTATAAGCAAAGAAACTATTATGTACGATCGGAGAGAACACTAATCAGTTCCTTCAAAAGTATGCTATAAATGTAAGTTTGTCTCGCGATTGTGTGATCATCTTGTAATTCTCGTGAGATCTTCTTCGCATATTATACACTTGCACACCCTTAGTAGTATAGAACCTTAACATTGTTAAGCAAACATCTCCAAAGTTACGCATAATATTACACAAGTGCACCAATAGTCATACAAATAATAAATGTACATGTAATATTAGATACTAATTTTATATAATATTTTTCTTTATATTTGTTTTATAAGTAATATGTAATTTAATCAGACAAAGGACGGTGCAAAACTTGAAATTAAAACTGAAATTACCAAAATGCTTCTGAACAGGGTAACTTTGAAAAAAACCCGCATATTAATTAAATTTATTTGTTTACGTGACGCTTCTTCGAAATAAATACCCGATAACACGTAATAGTTCGTAGACTTCGTGTAACGCTTCACCAAAATTCGTGATCTCATGTAATGTTTATTTACACGCGGATTGGACTTTAATTTTTACTACATGGTTTTGACATTTTAGCAGCTAGCATCCCGTCGAAATTTGCGTGTGTACTATATTATACGGACACTGAAGCTGATTATGACCGCGGGACTTGATGGACGGTACCTATTGACGTACTCACAGAGGAAATTTACAACAACCTTCTGTTATCTGCCACATGTGGTATTTATTGACGGGTAACCTAAATGATGTATTTGAAATATGCGTGCATCTTTCAATGAATCATCTGTATGTTACGTGTGTACAATAAAACAGAATTGCTGCTAGATGTATTGTTTGTATTTACAAAGGTCATAGGCTTGTTTTTCTCTTGAAATAGAGCCTACTGAAATACTATGTCCAATTGCTGTTCAGTTACACAAAATGCCATATATACTCATCTAGGAGGCGTGTGATTGAAACAAGTCACTCAAGCTGCCCCCAGAGTAAAGACATTATGTGTTGGCATTTTGAGTTTACTGGTTGTGTATGTTTGTGTAATGGTCGTCTCAGGCTTACCCCTAGGATCACTATGCGTTGTTTTGATCCCCGGGACTCGAGCAATGATACGCTGAGCTGTGTTGTGATGTTGAGGAAGCTGTACCCTGAGATATGGTGTGTTGTTGCAATCACAATTGACTTACACCCCGAAGCAGTGATTTACATCTGGAAGCACTGATTCACACCACGAATCACGGATTTACACCACGAATCACTGATTTACACCCCGAAGCACTGCCACTTTGTCATAAAACATGTATGCAATAACTAAATTGGAGCGCTCTTTTTGTATCTAGTTATGTCTGTTAGCTATTAGATTGGCATTCAATTGCTGAGATGGAACTGGTACGATGTTCCGCATTACGTTGTTCTCATTGAAGCCTACCATGGGTGTCTATTTCGTCAACACACTCATTCTAGTAATTTACGAGTGAAATGTACGTGCTTTATCTCACCTGTTGCGTGAAATGAACTATTGTACACATGACGTCCCCGAAAATCCAATCCTGTAGAACGACTTCAATGAACGTGAACGGTGAACAGAACAGCGTCAGGGCAATGTCGGCAATAGCAAGGTTAATCAGAAAGACGTTAATGCCATGTTTCAACCGATAGCCGTTCAGGACGTATACCACTATCGCATTACCGGTGAGTGACATCAAGATTACAAGACTGTAGAAAATGGACAGGGCAATCTGACCGGCGTATGATAACATCTCGGCGTCAGTTGTCAAGTTCATCGCAGCTGAACAGTTATGTATAAATTGCCTTCTTTCTAATGTTTGCAACTGACTGATGTTACAATCAGACACATGCATGGCGATTACAGGCACAGGTACTGACTAAAAGCGTCACGGTGTGTCCGATAACAAACGTATATGTTATCTCGGGTATTGTACACGACTGATTTATTACGCGAGTATTTGTAATGAATTCCCATCATGCTTAGCCGGTTTATCACTGCCAAAATTAACAAGAACTCATCCATATGTATAACATAATTACACATTAGTCTTGAATATTACAAATTATATATACAATTCCTTTTTTCTTTTTTTCTTTTTTTTTGCAAATTACCTACCTATTCTACTTAAGTTCATCTTTTTTCGGTTGTCAATATCATAGCAAGTGCTGTCGTCTGTTTCAATACCGCCCTCTGGTGGTCCATATAACGAAATTCAGGCAACGCATTTTCATGAACGCAGATTATTGGCATCGAACCAAAATAAGTGGTACAGAAGGCACAACTGCGCAGAAAGTAATCGCAATGTGTTTATTTGTGTCGACAGCATTATTTTCATTCAAATGAATAGAGATAATAATAATGAATAGAGATTGCGTCTGTGAACGTGCATTTGCAATCCCTAGTTGAATGAAAAAGTCACGTTACTATTATAACAACAAAACACATAACTTCAAGTGAATCGAACCTAAATGTGAATTATGCGGTAAGTTAAGCTTGTATATAAACCCACTTAGTGCTTGTAGACCAATCATAATACTCAATTACACTGCTTTATATACATTAGACGCGCAATTTCCGAATATGAATCGTTTTCTTAAGTCGAATCATCTTGTTCTCATAAATAATCCAAGACTGTTATACCGTACATGTCCTAAAGGCTTTGTTCTCATACATTTACCGAGAATGTTATTAAAACCACGTGATCATAATACACTGACCAAGTTTTACAGCGGAAACCACAAAAGTTGCATTTTGAACTTTTGAGCTAAAACCTAGACACGATGCCTATTTTAGTTGCTCGTTATTTTGCATTTAGGGGTACCTGCAGAAATGTATAATGCGAATTGTGAAAGAAGAGCGAGGTCAACGCTTATGTACACGTGTATCACAACTACGTATTGCAGTAGGACGTTTATAGCTGTCGCATACGACTTATTTACCACTTCCGTGTCACTGAGAATGTTCTAGAACCGTACTGTGTCTGGGTGGAATATTCTATATTTTTTAGAAAATGGTTGAATAGGTAATAGAACACTGTAGGAGGCAATAGAAGGTAATGGAACATTCTAGAAATTGGTAGTAAGTTCAAGACTCATTATGTATGCTGATGCAATGGTCTATTTATAGACAGTGCGGGTATATATAGGGGAGTTGTTCAGCACTGAGATCAGATCGGAGATTTCGTTGAATTGTATTGGAGTTTAAGTATCTAGTTATTGGAGTAGTGGAGTTTTACCGCGTTATTGTACTTGATGTTTGCAGAGTATAATAATACCAGTACCAGTTGAAACCTCATCTGTTGGCTCCGTATTCGTATTTTATCATCGCCGCCAGGGAAGTCTTTCTGTTACTGTTGCCATTTTGGTATTTGAACCATCACACCTGTACTATACCAATTACGGTAATATTACGTTGCGTGTGACAATAGCTTATTCCGTTTGAAAAAAAGGAGCGGGTCTCGTTCCCGTTACGAATTCTGTGTAGAACACAACGCAACATTTAATAAAATATAAAAACGGTTTTGGTTGGTGGATAAAATAAAGCCCTCGTTCTTGGGCTCTGTAGTCTAGATATTTTAGCCCGGGTCGGAGTCCTTGTACTCGCGCTTTATTTCATACTATACCTATTTACCATTTCTTCAACTATCTAAATGATTTCAACTAAATTATTTGCTACTACTAATTTATGATCTTTAAAACTTGACAAAAAATGGAATGGTTGGTTGGAACGTGACTGTCCATGCGCAATATTAATTCACAACTAAATACCCAAAACTATTTCCACTTTTATGCCACACTAGCACACACGTTAAGTATGTACTTGGTAAGTTTGTAAGATGAATGACAAAAAATATTGTTAATTTAATTATGAATGACTTGCTCATGTAGTTTCAGTTCAGAAACAATGTTTTTTGTTGTTGTTGGTAATTCCAGTTCTTACGTAATAAGTTGATATTGTGTTGGCTTAGTGTTATGTCTGGTATTCGTAGATTTACACCAATATTCTCAGCTTAATAGACTCACACCAAGTTGGATGCAACATGCCGCCGTTGATGGCAGTATGTATAGAATATAGCGGCACGTAAATGATCAAAAAAACACCGCGGTGTGGCGCTCAAACCTATAAATAATACAATTGCTCTAGCCAATAAACATCGAAGTTGCAAGGCAAATAAAACGATGGTTTCCTGTATAACTCAGCTGCGATAATTTGAGCTGTGCATGGGTTCATGTCCGACAAAATCCTATTAGTACGTCATGGATTTCATAAGCTGCTGGTTTTAACTACTTGAAATGAAAACTGGTTTCTGGTTTCTATGTGATACGTTCGAATCTTGTTTGTTCAACACATTTAATTGCAGCTGTTATGATCTGCGTTTCTGTGTATGTTCTTCATTCTGAATAAGGACAGAAATAAACAACGTCAATAAACTACAGATATCAGTTATATTTAAAAAGACAAGGGGAAGGTTAAATTCTATTACGGCTGCTAATATATATGCACATAAACAAGGTACTTACTATGGGGTGACGTTTTCCTCTGTGATCTGTATACGGGAATTTTCTCTATCGAACTCAACATAATGATTGGGTGCTCGAAGTTTACTCAACATATAGGTATGTGAGTCACATGAAAATGTTTGACAACAGTTCCATTACAAATGTAGAACGCAGATAGTATTTAACAGTATCGTGTTAGATGGAGAGAAGCAGTGTAAATGTATCGTGGCTTAAGTAAGTTACACACGTATACGGGTTTAAAGTCATGAACATTCTCTGATTTAATAACATCTGTGCTGTAGATAACAAAAATCACCACCATTGAATACTCTATGGCAACACAATAGCTTTTATTGTTCCGATGCATATTTTTCAATGAATATGTGGTTTGTCAAGAATAATTGAGATTTAAATGTTGATGCAATATGACAAGGGGCGCTTTTCTCAGGATGATGTGTTAAACACATTCGACATTATAATAACACATTAAAGTTAGCAAAATCCACTCTCCTGGAAAAAAAAAACATACTCACACATCTTTCGAATTGCAAAACCGAATGATCACCGCCTCCGTAATTATCAATAAAAGTAAGGCAACAAGCACCGCGATGACGATTAACCAAACACCTATAGAAACATTATATTATATTGAAAACAACATATTATCCGTCTTTCACGAAAGGCGTTCATAATTGTTATTGTATGAGTATTCAATATTATATGTTTTAAACTGCACTGTGAGTTTAAATGTACAATGGTATTTAGCACGCAAGTAATACCTGGTGAATCATCTTCCCCTGTCCGCAATGGACTATTGGGTGTTCTAGTTGGTGATTGTGTTGCTTTTGCTTCAGTTGCATCAGGATACAATGTTGTGCATGGTGTTGAATTGTAATTCGGTCCAGCTTTGATTGGTTCGATTTTGCACATTCCGGGGATCACTGTGATATCGTCGATAGCAATATCTCCTTTATTTCCAGTACCACGAATAACTTGGATAATGTGCTAAATAAAGACCATGGCAACTAATAAATTTCTAACTTTGGTGACTTAGTTGTAGAGAGACTTTTCACGCAAATGACCATCGAAATCTCATCGTAGAGCGCAACGAGACTTGTTTTGTTTGTGTCCCTTGAATATATATGTTTATAGAAGAACAAGTCTTGTGGACATCTCGCTCTCGGCGTGAACTCATCGGGCATTGTCTAAAGTATAATATACGATTGAATATGATTATGATTATATGTATCGATACTCAATACAGATGATTGTAGCACACTGATCTATGGAAATCATACTTGGAAATAAAGTTTTCATAAAAGATTAATGTTAGCGTTATATTGGCAATGCTCAGAATACAGAGAATTTTATAGTGTTACGGAGGTGTCCAATGATACAAAACAATATATAACTGACAATACACAATACATGGACATTCGGGTGTATATTATTGGATGTGCCAGTATTTAATTTAATTCACTCACGGTTTGTATTTCCTCTTTATATTAAATCCCAACCGTAGCTTGTTTCCACTGATTTTTCAAATTTTGCTGTCCTTGTTTCTCCTCGTATGGCTATCCTAAGTTCCCCGATGTCCTCCCCGTACATGTAGTACCAGAATGTTACACACCTAGACTCTACGCTGTATTGAACACTCCCTAATATTGCACTGCCTCCACTGGAAACTTCATATATATAAGCCAATCCATACTTCCCTGTCAAATAATATTATGGACTATATTTATACATATACGTAAAATCGTCGATTTATGTTCAGTGGGCGGAAAACACTTAATTGTCTGAGCAGATAAGATTTCTAAATCGATATTATGTCTATATTAGTTCAGATAAGGATACATATTTTGTGAATCGAACTTGTTACTTTGATATTCGAATTTTACATGTTTCCCAGTTTACACTTAA